TAGTGACTTCTGAGCCAGGCTGAATTTTTTTTTTTTGACAGAACTGGGGATTGAACTCAGGCCCTTGCGCTTGCCAGGGAAGCACTTATTCCACTGAGCCATCTCCCTGGCCCCTAGGCTGAAATATTTTAAATTATTTTGAGAGCCGGAATTTTTTGTTTGTATTTTTCCATAGTGCCTTGAACATAATGTACTCGGAATTTTGTTTTTGTCTTTTTGAGATAGGGTCTCTTTCTGTATTACAGGCTGGTCTTGAGCTCGCTTTTGTAGCCTAGGCTGGTCTTTTTTTAAATTTTTTGTTTTATTTTATTTGTGTGTGTGTGTGTGTGTGTGTGTGTGTGTGTGTGTCCAGCTCAGCCCACCAGGGGGCAGGGCTGGCTGGCATGTGGTGCTGGGGGATTGAACCGCGGTCCCCGTGCTTTGCCAAGCTTGTTCTAAGTAGGTGCTTTAGACCACTGAGCCATCTCACCAGCCCAATCTTTTTTCTTTTTTTGGTCTTTCCCTTCTGTTTTAATAAATATTTGAGCTTTTGCTATTTTCAGTCATCACTGGTAAGTTAGAATTTATAAACTTCTAAAATACATTATTGACCATTTATTCAACATAAGCATTCTCATTTTTGTCCTCAAAGAATCCTTAGTTTTGTTATAGTGTAAAAATAGTTTTAGTAGCCTTGTGGATTAATGGTAAAAAACTAGAAGCTAGGTGAAATAGGATATGAAGTACACTCTGGAATCAGTAGGTGGCACAGAGTGTAGTGTGGTCCATCACCTCTAAACTTGTATAGCTGAGTTGCTCATTGAACAACAAGGTGGTAATGTTTCAGTGCGGCATACAAATGGATTCTTTTGATGTTATCTGATCGTAGTTTAAAAAATAATGATTCTAGAAACTTAAATAATTTTTGTCAATTTACCTGTTTATTTATTTTAGAAATTGTTGCATTTTCAAATATTTGAAGGATTTAGTTAAATTGATTGAACAAGTACTAACTGAGTGACTACTCTATGTAGATGTTATGGTACCAGAGGAGCTAGCTACAAGTATTGTATTTGATGGTGAAGCAGAAAGAAAACCAAGAGGTGTAATGTCAGGCAATAAATGTTCTCGCAGGGTTTATGTTCTGCTTTGAAAGGATGTAGTAATTCTTTCTGATTGATGGGACTTACAAAATATGATGAAAGAGATAGCATTTGATCCATTCCTTATAGAATGAGGATTTTTTCAAAATTGAAGTTTGCAAAGAAGAGCATGAGGGGGCCTGGCCGTAGCTCAGGCCTTTAAGTGGCTGCTTCCACAAAGCTGTCAGCCTCAGGTTGCTGGAGTTCGAACCTCACACCTCTCCAGC